CAAATAAGACCGGTTGGTTCGATACTAATTCTGTTTCTGTTGGCCTATCAGCAAAATTTGAGCAACTAGACAGCCCATCGTCTGTCTCTGATTTCATTGAAAACATCTTTTTAGAAGACTTTTTAGAAGACAATTCACTTATCTTTAAAATGCATTCTTGGTTGGCATGTAAAGGAGATTCGGTTACTTCATGTTTCTTGAAGTTGTCCACACTCCGATATTCTGTGCTCAGAGGCAATGCGTAAACAAGTTTCTTGCCTCTTTGTATCGTCACTGTTGTTGCCTCTGTGTTCAACAACACACTCACACACAGTCCGCTCTGAGTAAGTAAGAAGCTTCTTCCTGAATTAGCTGAGCTTTTACTGTTTGGCTTGGAAACCAGACACAACTGTCTGTCGCTAGTAAGCTCATTCAGGTTCCGCATCCTAAATGTCGCTATTACAGTCTGATGTGGTTTTAACCTAACTTTCCGATCTAGGAAAATTGGCACCTTTGCTTGATTAATCACGATTTTATTAAATGGTTTCTTTTCGTATTTCCTTTCTGGGTCCTTGATTCTTATCAACCCGTCGTTGAGGTCAATCGTGACATCGGAGTTGCGCACCAAATCTCGTCCTAGGATGAAATAGTCGGACTCATCAAGATTCTCGACGACCAGGAAACTCATCCAGAGATGTCTCCCTCCCAGCTGCAACGTGATGATAGGGTTTCTTCCGGTCATATTTTGCACCCTAATTAGCCGCTGCTAGTCTGATATTAGTCGGAATCAGATCCTACCTATCAAAACCCATGTCGGTCCAAGTGCTCACAGGCATGACACTGACCACTGCTCCGGTGTCTAATAGTCCTTTCACGGAGAGTTGTCTACCCTGCACGTCCAGTACATGCGCAGCCAGATCGGCTTCAAAGCCTATGTGGACTGCGTCTTGTTCGAGAATGGCGTTGTGTCCGATTCGTCGGACCTAAGATCTTCTCGACCGATGTAGATCCGGCCTACCTGGTCATTTGCATCGGTCACGTGAGCTTTAGTGTAAATTTTTATGCCGTCCACGTTCATGAGAATCGGGTATGGGCCATACACTTCAATGTAGTGTCCTACTTTCATTAGCTATACACAATACACAATTGATAACCAGATAAGAATACCCTATAGATAACAGCGATCTTTTGTTCAGTATCAATTTACCGCTACAGACGTATCAAATCACTGCTTCGTTTAAAATCAAACAATATTTTATAAAAGAGCAGCGCTGGCTTCAATGACAGATAAGTTAAACTCAGTCTTAAAGAAAAAGACTTTCCTCGATTGGAACACTCCAAAAGAACGAAGCCCAGGACACTGTCTTCTCAAGTGAGTGTTTTGTCTAATACACTCACCGAGGTTTTCTTCTATATGTCCTGCGATTGCCCGTGCTGTCCGACTACGTAGCTCAAGGCAACCTTTTGATCGAAAATATTTAGAATCTAAGCAAAAGCTCTCCCACACCCGGACAGTTCCAAGTGCACGAGAGTAGGGAACAACTTTGTCTTCACAAGTGATTGTGTCTTGTCTAATTCACTCACCGAGGTCTTCTTTTATGTGTTCCCGGATTGCCTGAGCCTTCCTATTAAGTAGCTCAAGGCAACCACACAACCAAACTCACAATCAAAAAAAAAATTTCGGATACCTTTGATGAACCCGATTAGAATCCAAAGTTAATCGCGAATCTTCGGGTCTACTGGGCCACTATTCTCCTAAAATACACGTCCCGTGAGTAGTCGACCTACTATTTAGACCTTAAAAGGATATCTAAGGATGTTTAAATTGTCCCGGAGGGTACCTCCAAAAATTCACGAAAGGAGGGTCAATAAGAGGCTTAACTCACTTCGGAGGGTTGCTTCGGAGGGTACCCTCAAAAATCTTAATTTTTCAAGTTTAGCCTAAAGGGGTATCCAGCTAACCCTAAAAAGTGTCAAAACGAGCTAAATTCACTCTGGAGGGTAATTTTAAATATTTAGGAAGGTTGCGTGAAAAATTTCTGCTAAGGAGGGTTCCTATTGGGCTTAGCTGGCTCCGGAGGGTTGCTTCGGAGGGTTCCTCAAAAATCACAAAAACAGATAATTTCACCGCTCTGTATCATCCGACTGCAGTCTAACTTATTTAAAACTGGGTTGGCCGACTCGGTCAACCTTCCCAATAGGATAAAAAGGTAATTTCATAAAAACTTCTGCCGCTCGGAGGGTGCCCTAAAATTTGGACCCTCCAAACTAACAAAGTTTTTAAAAAATTTCTTCCCTGAAGTTATCAACCCAAAAAAAACGGTTGCGATCCAGAAAAGTAGTCAAAACCGTCGACTTATGGTGCCAAAGTTATTCCGATCGATTGGCTGGTCTTTGAGAAATCGCCAAAAACGCGTTCGTTAAGTTGGCCTTTTTTCACCACCTATATAGGTTCTCAGAGACTTTTTCCGCATTTCTTAATGAAAGTGCCTAAAAATACTTGAAACGAGCCTAGTAGCCCTGTACAGCACTAAAATAATGCAAAAAACGGGACCAAAATTTGGTTTGGAAACAAAAATTTGGCCAAAAACTATCAAATTTGGACCCTCCGATTCCTTCCTTTTCCAATCTTCAAGTCTCTAGCTCTATATACGGAGCTATTCGGAAGATAACTCAAAAATAGCCCTAGCAACCGAACACTTTATGCTAGCACGATTCTAACGCAAAAAAAAGTTATCGCTCTTACTCTAAATACTCAAAAACTTGATTCTCCAAACATGTTGACGAAATTCGGAAAATCACAAAAACTTTGATCCAAAAAAATTTATTTTCGCTTACTTCTACTACGTCATTTTTTGAGCGGTTTATTTAGTTAGAGGGGTCGAACTACGTAGTCGCTCACTGCGCAGAAGCTTTTTGCTGTTCGGAAAAGCTCGGATATCCAAAATTTCTGGTGTTAACCGTTTGGTCGAAAATCAATATTTTTGAACAAAATTTGGGTGTTTCTCGGGTCTAAATGGGAGATAAGTAATATATAATAAGGATAATAACCTATAAGTAGTCGTTTATTAATATTACTATACCCTCCTTTGCACCAAAATATCCGAATTAAGACCCTTAACTCGGAAATTTGCAACCGAAGGAGGGTGCAATCGGAGCGAGCCAATTGTGCCCCCCCTCACCACTTAAGTTTTAATGAAATAGCACCCGAACAATAAGATTGTGTCAACGATATCCAACAAACGTTGTGGATGTTGTCCTTAATGCCCTCTGTTGAGTCTGGAACACGTCTGTCAGCTTACCGCTCTACCCTCCGGTCAACGGCAAGTTTATCATTAACGTGGTCAAATACTCAAACAACACTCAAGGGAGGGTACCTCACCCACCACCAAGACACTCAGTCTTTCGATCAGAGAAGATATAAAACAATCTGAAACAACAACTACAGGAAGGTCAGATCAAATCCCGTCCGGAAATAACACATAAGCTGTCATTTTACATTTTTTGGTCTTTTTTCGATTTTTTACTGTTTTTGTACTTTTATGTTTTTCGTTTTTTTTCACTTATACATTATTTCTGTTTGGTTTTACGCTTTCTCTTTAATTGTTTTTGGTCGCAGGGCCAAGGGATAAGCTGGCTCATGACTTCCCACCTAACCCTCCGGCCCCAGGAATTTCTGGTCTTAACTAAGTTTAAAAGCTAAATAGTACCCGGCGGAGGGTCGGTACCTTCCGCCTAATACAATACAGGGCAATAAGGCTTCTAACTCGGGCATACGCCCGGAGCGGAGGGTTCGTCGCTGAAATGTTTGCTGATCATGATGGTCTTATGCCTTTGACAGGATCCCCAGACTACGTGATTGCTATTAAAAACACGGCTCGAATATCTTATTTTACTATGTTTTTGGTGACAGTTTTATTGTAAATCCATTGGAGATGGATTGACCCTTTCCTGTACCTATCTACTCATACTCTAAAATAACAAATAAAACGGTGTTAATTCAAATGTTAAGGACATCAGAGTAGCTAAAAAGTTAGTTTACTATAGTCTTTCACCATATGACAGTCTCTGGGGGCCGAGCCTCCAATTCCGCGCTCTTCCAGTAAAAACGTCGTTATTACTCTAACTTCGTGGCACGGGAAGGTACTGCTCCTTCCGTCTGCCCCACTGATTCCTCTTTTCCTTCTGTCGACTTCAATTAGTTGTCTTATCGTGCGCGATCGTTACGATAAGAGGCTTCGTTTTTATTTCGTTCTCTTCCAACTGTCTTGAACTCGTTATTCTGATGGTTGTGTTTTTCTCTATTTTCCGGCTAAACATGGCCGTTGTTGCAGTTTAAGAAATGTACCGCCGCAATTCGAATTTTTCTTAAAATTTCTTTCTAGAATATTCTAGCCTCCTTCACATCAATATATAACCACTAAGGCCTCTAATGTTGTTTTCGTGCTGCGACGGCAGGTTCCGCTGTGCCAATCCGGGGGAATGGCACACATTCACGCTCCAACAGATTTCAAAACGTCGAATTGTGTACATAGTTCAACCCATGGAAATTTTTTTGCCTTTTAGCAGACCAACATAAGGATTTCTTTAAGACGTGCCGAGTGAAATTTCTTGAGCATTATAACATACGATATAACTTAAATGTGCACAAATTCTTTGGTTTAACATGCAAAAAATAAAACGTTGAAAAAGCTTAAGCATGTCAACATGTGTCAAGTGAAACGCCAATTAAATAAGGTTTAGAGGAATAGGTTAACACGATAAGTTTTTTTCAGGATAACATAGGAATAAAAATCGTACCGCTGTTCAACAATAACAAGAACGATTGTTGGTTTTAGAAAAAAAACAAGCATGAAAGATGGGTCCCGCAACTTTTGTGAAAACTTCAAAAACAAGTTAGCAAATGTAAACAAGTAAGCCAACCATTTTTTCGAAGATTTTGAAGCCCAAAAACTTTTCTTCAGGGACCCAACTATCATACTTGATCAAAAATGAGACCCAGGAAGCTGCAAATAAATTACCGTAGGCCCATAGTCTGTAGGAAATTTATTTGTCGTAAACGTAATTGCAAGACTTCTTGATCCGACAGCAGCATCTCCAACAATCACACATTTGATCCCGTGCATATTATTTCCGCTCATTTTAACTGAAAAAAAAATATATTAAATAATCAAATTTGTTTTAAAATCACTCAAATCACACATAATTTTACGTCGCAGGAAAAATCTATAATGAATCATTCAAAATATGGGGAAATCTTGAATTTCATCTAAACGGTAAAGCGGGACTACAATCTTCAATCGAAAAAACTTCAGAGTTCATGAACTTCTGAGTTGAATGGCAATAATTACGTTTTCTTCCTTTACATCTTCAGTCTAGACCATATGTTTTGTTCAGATATTCTTCCGCATTGTTGGGGCACCTAAGTTTGAAATCGCCAAACTTCGTCAATTGTGCTTTTTCGACGTCTTCGATAAGGTAAGTTTCTTCAGTCCACAACACTATACCAGCTCTCATTTTTATTTCGCATCGCTTGGGTTTTCCTGGTATTTTACGCATGACGAAGAGATGTAACATTCGCCCGGAAGTACATATCGGAGGAAAAAAGCTAGTTTGTAAAACGACTGGCTAGCGTCTAAACACAGCTCTACATGCTTTTAACCGTCTCTGCCAAAAAAAAAGTTTTGTGTGGTCCTTTTAAAATCGGGTCGACAAAATCATTACTGTTTTGTACAAGTCGCCTACTTAGGCTTAAGAAGAATAGGCCCTATAACCATTGGCTCAAGAGTCAGGGACACTATCTCTCTTGTTTTTCTACCTCAAAACGGTCGGAGCCAATTCGGTTCGCTTGCGACATGAGACTAAAAACCCGTTACAGCTTAAAGGCCACTACCAAAATACCCCCCCCCCCCCACTCTAGAAAATTTCACGAGGTAATCAGAAGGTCAAAAGTATCATAGTAACCGAGGTTACAGTCATGAGTCCCTTCATCATGTATTCCAGTCAAAATCCTTGGAATTTTCTAGATATGGAAGTGATAATGATAAAAGAAGATGACAAGTGTTTAAGTCCTTTTCAATTAAAATCGATACGGGTTACGTTTCTTCAATAAGAACACGCAACTCGCCACGAGATAATATAATATACAAGCGTTACAAGTAAAAAATTTCGTCGAAAGTTATTTTGTCATTTATTGTTCCGAGTACGCAAGCGGCGTTCGCAACCCCCCCCCACTCTAGAAAATTAGAACGTCCCTATACTTAGGTCTCAAAATACCCAAAATACACGAACGCCGTTAAAAACAGGGTCAGAACAATCCGCATAGTTACTTTTTATTAGAAAATGAAACTTTGATCCATTTCAGATGGATCAACCTAAAACTCGCCTTATCTCAACATAACAATCATAAAACACACTCAAGAAAACTAAATTGACAACTCACATGTTGGCACACTCGGGAATTAGAGGTAAATAAATTAAGGAGCAACTCGAGAATTAAGTATGATAACTTGAGAAGTTTAATACTGATTAGTTTTAATAAGGGAAATGAGTTTTGACTCTAGTAATAAAGTTTTAGTCTGAACCATTGGGACACCCCAGCTGTCCACGTTTCCACTGATGGTTCACTCTAGTTCGGTTCGAATAATTGTATTCTTCTGTCACAACTTATTAAATAGTTTGTTTTCAAATAAAATATGCCTGTTACGAGGTCAAGATTGGCCTCAAAGAATCATGAGATGTGCACCATCTGTAGCAAGCCAAACGGTGATAACTGGATATCGTGCGAGTTATGTGAGAGATGGACTCATGGTGAGTGTATGGGCTACTCTGTGGATGAGTACAAATTCCTGGAACGATCTGCAAATGTGAAACTTATGTGTACTGGTTGCTCAACTACCGGATCAAAACTGGGCGGTGGGAAATGTCACGAGGACATCACTCGTGGTATTGAAGAGCTGAAGGATACACTTCAAATAGCCAAGTCGGTAATGCAGTCAATCACAGATGCATCGAATGCTCCTCAAAATCAGAAGGCTAAGTATTCAGATGTGCTTAAATCAGGTGATGAATACTCTCTTGAACTACGTTTCAGCGGCATACCTGAATACTGTAACATTCGCCCGGAAGATACATATCGACGGATAACAAAACCAAGTCTTAAGACGACTGGCTAGCGTCTAAACAGAGCTTTGCATGTTTTTCACCGTCTCTACCAAGCCAGTACTTTTCGGTGGTCTTTTACAACATCGGGTCGACAAAAACGTTACTGTTCTCCGGCTTCGACCAGAACGCTCAAATTAACTGAATTACATGCAAAATTAGTGAGCTCATGGCTGGGTCTCAGTATCCCCAGACCACGAGGTCACTCCTAAAAACAGGGCTACTACTTATTATATTACTATTGTTTTTGTTCAGTAGATAAAAATCGTCATCTCCATCGAAGATGGATCAACCCTTTCCCCCCCTACTTCTAGCTCCTCATTCTTGTCAAAACGAATTAAGATCTTAATTAAATTCAAGTCAGGACATGACAGGATGCTAAAAGTTTATCAGAGTCAATAAAAGTTTCCGTCCCGAGACCCTTCCGGATTCTTGAATCCGCCGAATCAAGCTCCTTAATCTCAAGTTCACGATAACTCGGAAGGCTGTTTTTCACCCTTCACCGTTGTTCGCAACGGCCTTGCAACTATTGTAGCAGCACAATAGTTGCAACTCGGAACGCTCTCTGCTATTCTGTAGTTCGTTGTCGTTTTTCAGTCTCGATTTCCGTACTGTTTTCTATCACAGATAAAGTTGTTCTCTTTTTTTCACTCGCTTTTTGTTAAAAATGGCCATTTCAGCATTTCTCAGAAATGTTACGTCATCACTTCGAAAATTTAAAATTTTAAAATACGGGAATATCTTGACCTTCACTGTTCTGCTAATCATCCGAATAACATCGTTAATCCTTCAAAACCATTAACTCGGAAGGCTTGCTGCTAATATTCCGAATTCTGCAGAGATTGCATTTTGGCCATTCTGGTCGAATGTCACACACTCCCCGGACAGTCCGGTCAATGTCCTCATTGAATCGCGCAATGTTCATAAAATGGTTACAGTGCCATCGAACAGAATTTACAAAATGCACTAAATTACTTTTATCTACGTCACATCAACTCACGGCAGAATATAAATGGCATCATACTACATCACTATAGCCTTCAAATTCTTTCATTAATCTGCACATTGAGAATATGACCTAAGATAAAACATGTTTTCTGACTTCCAGTGTCTATTTCCCGATTAAAACTTTTTCTCTTAGATTTAAAAGGTGTTGGCTTGCAGGACAGTCCTGCCAACCAACAAGCTAAAATTATCCTACTATGCTCCCTCCCTTCGGAGATTTTGCTTGTTTATTGTCCTGAATTTTAAAACTAAGAAGCTTTGTGGTTAGAAAGAACAATGCACCAACCTCCCTCTTCAAGAGGTTACTCAAGTCTTTCATATCACCACAAAGTGATCAGTTTTCTTAAGTGATTAAAAACAATCATGCAGGCTGGAATATTTAAATATACTCTTTTCTCAAGCCTCTCTAAATAAATAATAAGTGTCTCTAAAGCCACTTCTGCTAAAATCAAAATGCAAATTTATAAATACAACAATTTCAGAACTCAACAAAATGTTTCAGTTTTCAATTACAACTTGGTTGCTTGGTTTCTCACTTGAGTTTTTCACACACATAAAACAATTCTGAGTTTTGACTTTTCTTCATCATTCTTTTGTTCTCTTCTTTTTTCATCGTTTAGAAGTTCTAAAACTTCTAAATTCTTCTAATTTTCTTTCTTGTTGCCTCTTGTTTTCTCGACCATTCGTCAATGTTCCATTTCCTCCTCCTGTGATGCTGACTCCGCGCTTTCGGTTTCCGTGTCTTGTAGCACGTCGTTGACTATCCTGACGCTGTTGGAAGCCGTCCTCCAACACTTCTGCTCTTCTACCCTCTGTTTACAGCAAGGTAGGGGATCCACGTTGGATTCTCTGTTTCTACAGAAGCTGTTGTGGAGACATAACGTCACGTTTCTCTCCAGATCTTCTTTCAGCATCTCTGCCTTCTCATTTCCACTACGCTCACTCGTTCTGGAAATTCTTTTCACAGCGGTGGTCACTGCATTCCGATGAGTCACGAAAGCTCGCTTGAAAGCTCCTGCCCCAATGTCCAGCTGATATTCACTGTACACTCTGCCATGCTTCGACATATGCTTTTTCGCATACTCGTACAACCACGCAGTCATGTTAGCTCTGAACCATGGCATCAATCGTTTTCTTGCCCATATCTTCTTCACTTCCATCGGAATATTCAGAACTTTACACATTGTCTCAAAAAGATCTAAATCTTTCAGACAATCTAATTTCTGCAATTGTTCTCTCGTCGGTGCCTCCTGCCTATTGTTTTCTCTCACATGAGCTTCCAGCCATCGTATCGCCATCATAACTCCCACTATCACTATTGTTACGGGCTGTGATGAATCTGGTAAACCCATGGAGAGCAGCTCTCCAGAGTCCCAGATCAACATCAGATTACCACGCTTGGGATACCACCAGGTCTGCAACAAGCAGTGGCAAGGAAACTCATCATGCGTCAACATGATGCTCCTCCAATTACGTTTTCCCGAAGCTTCCAGCAATGGTTCCACTTCCATCATCACTCGGTGGATTTCATCATTCTCATCTACTGCATTGTAATCTGTGACAGTTGATCCTTTCTGCTTCTGTTTTTCAAAGTCACTGAAGTTCCCGCTCACATATCCCATGAACTTCTTTCCCAATATTGACTCCAACTCTTCTTTGGTTCTCTCTGGAACTGCTGAGAAAATCTTACACAATAACTCGTAAGACTTTTCAGACATTCTTGCCAACCTCACGCACTTCGGCACTGAAAAGGCTTGATCCACAATCGTTCTTGTACTCTTCACGTCCACAGCTACGAAATGTACAGGATACCTGCTCTTGCACATTGGAGCCAACGTTGAACCCACCAAATATCGTGCTCCTGCTGGTCTACAATAAGTTTCGCTGTGTCTGATGTTCATTTCTGTTTCGATTGCCTCCCTCCATTTTCCTATGTACTTCTGCTCAGTCTGCAGAACTCCTGGGAATACTTCTACGCTGATGGCTGTGACCATCTCATGTTTCTGTTCTAGATTCAATAGTGACTCTAAAGAACCAAACATGCTGTAGAATCCTAGTGCAGTCACTAGATTCACATCAGTTCCTCCATGGCAATCTGCTATCAGTTCCGTTTCCGTTCTTGCTTTCATCACTACATTTCCAAACAATACTGTCAATTGCTTATGTTGTTTCTCTAGGGTTTTCACACAGTCTAAACTTCCACAAACGTGACCCTCCAGTCCACAGACTTCCGCCAGACAGCTACCAGGTTTTACCCAGTCTTCTGGTCCCCAGCCAGGCAACTCCACTTTATCTTCTCCGTTGCACTTAGAGGCTGTTATCATCACATTATATATGATGTTAAGGTCACGCAGGTTACAGTCTGCACTCAGTTCCCTCTGTACGTCTTGTGTCGCACGTAATATTGAGTCAGCGTTGGGACTAGGACACCATGATGGCCTCATCAATTCCCACACTGCCATCAAGCTCGTTCTCAGTACTTCATCTGAGAATCCCAACCCAAACTCCACTCTCTTGTCGGATTTTGGTACTGAAGGTGCACTCACCTCTTCTTCCAAGACTAGTCCCAACTTGGCCTGTGGATTGTTAACGCTCTTGATCGTTACAATTCGGGACGTCCAGAACCTTAGTAACACCGCCTGCTCGTAATCAAAGAAGCAATCACGTATGTCTTCACTCAGGAAAGGATTGTACGCTATCCCTATGATCCCAGATACGTAGCTATATGACTTCTTCTTGATCGGTCCACAGTATTCACTGGATTTCGGCAATGCTCCCATAGATTCTTTAGTGAGTCTCAGCTCCTTGTTTGAGAATCTCCTGATCTCATCTATCTTTTTCATGGGTTCCAGTTCTTCAGGTTCTTTCATGTTCACCCTCATCGGTCTACTTTGCTGCATGTCCAGCAATGCCAGCAAGAACAAGGCTTTCATTCGTTCATCGCCTTCCCTCAACATTTTAACACAACTGCTTAATGCAGGTACTGAAATCTGCTCTATCAGGAATCGAATGAAACAGAGAGCATCTCTCCGCTTCGCACACGCTACTGCTGCTCCCTCCTGGACTATCAGATCCCTCAGATTTGTCATAAGGAACACCTTTTCTTCTTTTGACCTCTTTCTTTCTTCTGAGTCATATTCTTCGCGAGTCAGTCCCATCATGCACCAGGCGAACCTGAGTTGTAACTCTGTCCTTACGTAAGGTACTGCCACGAGAGCATGTATTCTTGGCGTAGTCCTCATTTCTTCTTCAAAATACCTCAATACTACTGCTTTCCATGGAAGGCTCACTAACTGCTCGATCGTTTCCGCCTGTACATCAGACGACGCCAAAGTTCCATACGCCTTCTGCTTAAGGGTGGTGCCTTGCAACATTGTTTCCAGATAACCCTCCATGGCTTTTTCTTCTTCCAGGGCCATTACATGCCCTCTAGCCGAGTTTCGGTATTCCAACATTTCCATGTATCCACCGGTGGGTTCATCTATCGACACCGTCTCAGACACTGTTAGTCTGTTGTATTCCACTGGTGTTAGTTGTCCTGCAACACTTCCATTTCCATGATTCATGGGATATGGCTTGAAGTCCCTCATTTTACTCTCTCCACATTGACTGAGTATTTCCATTTCTAAAGTCGCTCCAGTCAGAGTGCGGTCACTCCTTTTGGATTTATAACCGGTTGACTTTATTCCAGCCATGAGAATGGGTGGCACCATCGCTATATCAGTTAATATTCTAATTGTGCCAGACAATTGATAATCACCTTGCCCCAAATCCATGACTTCCTCGACTCGTTTTCTTTTCGCTGAGTTGCCAGCTTTCACCGATATTTCCGAATCCACTTTCGTCTTTCCAATCCTCCTCGGTATCACTCTGCTACCTAACTTCATTTTCATCGCGTTGATTTTATCAATTACCATTTTCGATCGTATCGTCCCTCTCCTGGTTCTTGACAGATACACCACCTCTCCTTCATTGTCCTGCGGTGTCATCTTGATGGGAGAATTCGCTTCACTCTCATCAGTGGCTGAGTCGATCAATAACTCACTCAGTCTCCCTTCACACTCATCGAGTTTGTCAAGTACTTCCCTCATTAAGGGTTGATTGAGACCTGTTTTGAGAATGGACTGGGTCCCATAGCTCTGAATCACAGTCCAGACTTCTTCCATGAACGCCACTCTATCCAGCTTACATCCCGTCCTACCCTCGTGGTCTCGGTGATGTACTTCCCATTCTTCTTCGGGCAGCGTTCCCAAGAAAGGTACTCTGGCTGAGGCCTCTATTCTTCTCCTCCGAGGTGATTCCATGAGGATTCTCTGATCGTTATTTCTTGAATTGCCAGGAGAGCTGCTCTCCGGCAAATTCCGTTTCATTTCCATAAAGGCTGACGGAGGCTCCAGTGTCGAGGTGCCTTCATCCAGCTCAGTCGTTTCCAACGTATCCGCATTGTTTTCAAGATCACTGAAGATGTTGAAATCCAGGCTGGATGTTCCTCCTGTCGATGCCCTGTCGTCTTCCCCGCCAGCTTGATCTTGTTGCATGGGTTCTTCAGTCTGACGGCTTCCACCCTGTCCGTCATCTCCTTCTGACTTGTCCCTATTCGAGTTCGATGGTCCTTGTTCGTCTTTGTCGGCTTCTTCCTGGAATCTCGGTATGAGCAATGTACCGGCCGACTTATCTTCCTCTTCTCCATGGACCACTTTGATTTCTTCGCAGCCGAAGGGTGCTAGGAAGGTTCTCGTCTGCAATACTCCTCCAACTTTCATCTCTTTTCTCACACTGGCCAGGATTAATGAGGCTTCAGGCAATTCAGTCCTGCCTCTCATTCTCATTGGAGCTAAGCCTAGTCCCTTCCATTCCTCGTCAAATCTTCCAGGCTTGGGAGTAGCGGCGTTGCTTATTCGCCTTCTCGTCGCTTGATCCGTGTACGCAAATCGTGTGTACTGTAACACGGCGGCATTTCTCCCCACAAAGTATGGATCCATCGTCACCGAGAAATTCCCTACTCTCCTTTCATTGGTTTCGAATGCTCTCAATCTAGGAGTTTGTACTACGGAGACTGCTCCGAGCAACATCCTTCTTATCAGAGGGAATTCAGGGATTGCTTCCGGTAGCTTCTTGTAATCGCCCCAGTCTTTCGTCTCTTCTCTCACCTTGTGATATGCTGCCGTGAGACGAGGCACTCTGGTCATTTCACCATTCGTTTTGTCATAGAGCCTCAGATTCCAAAGCTTTGGAAACACCTCGATGTGTCCTCTTTCTACTTCTCCCATGCGGTCACAGAAGTGATCGTCAAAATTGATGACTGTCATTTCCGGCTCCGATATTTTCGCAAACAACTGGCAAAGTTGGGCCTTGGCAAAGTTGGAGCCAAGGCCAAGACCCGATCAAGCCGAGCTGGACTGCAGTTCCCTGTTGGAAGAATCCACCGATTCATCCGCAAGGGCAACTACGCTGAGCGAGTTGGTGCTGGAGCCCCAGTCTACCTTGCTGCTGTGCTCGAGTACTTGACTGCTGAGATCCTTGAGCTGGCTGGCAACGCTGCCAAAGACAACAAGAAGTCCAGGATCATCCCCAGACACTTGCAGTTGGCCATCAGGAACGACGAAGAGTTGAACAAGCTGCTCCTGCATCTTCACTCATGAGCTCCCGCAGTGCATGCTGTTCACACCAGTTCAGTGTACTACCGTCCACTGCCGATATGAGGTTCAGGTGCAGCACCGACCTCCTATATGCTTCCACTTTAACGTCAGGGAACGCAAAGGTGACTGCTGGTCCATAGATCACTGTCACGAACTCCGTGACTCCTCTGATCAGCGCCAATGGATCGGTCCTCATAGCTAAGCTCAGATCTGTTAATAGCGGCATGCCTCCAACATGTCGTCTAACATCTTCCTCTCTTTCAATTGTCTCGTCTTCTCCGGTTCCAAAGCGATTTTGCTGCAAGAGATATTGGATAAGAGTGTGTCTCAGGTCTCTTATTTTGTTCCACGAGTCCGTGGATTTCTTCATATCCAAGTTCCTCACTCTTTCTTTCATCTGCTCTGGACAATGTGCCAGTTTCATTAGTCCTCCCAAGTTTCCCTTCCGTGGGTTATTGCGATCAATGTCAGAAGTCCATCTAGTCGCAGGTTCTGTATTCCATCCGTAAGCAGTATCGCCGGTCCTTTCACGAAACTCTCCGCTCCGAATGTCACGAACAAGGCTATTAATTCCACTATCAATACTTTCACTACTGCTTGGAGGAATTCCTTTATCAAATAGTGCGAGACTTTCGGGTAAACTTTTGCCAAGAAGGACGCGGTCCATCCGGCTCCCAACCCTTCTAGCATGCTGTCTGTCCTTTCAAATCCCTCCTGTCCTTTCACTTCCTGGGTCCAGAAGGTCTCCAGAGTAATCTGACACATCCTGTTCACGAACTCAGCTGTCTTTTCTCCGGCATTTTCCGCCAGGTTCACCTCCTTCAACAAGTAGGCGTGTATCGTCGTGATCATTACTGGGCCTTGCTGAAAAGCATCAGCACCCAATGCCGCTACTCTAGGATTCAGGTGTAGCCACTGGTTTGCTTCCGGCTTGGTTCTCAGAAGCATCGCCTCCAGTTGAGCTCCTCTCATCGCGTTTGAGATATCTGACCATACTGCAGGCAGTTCAGCCTTAAGTGGCCTCAGGTTCTCCACTTCTATCATGCGATTCGGGGCTGACATGATCACATCATATTTTCCTTCCGAAAGTAAGGCTACCATCGCATACACAAATTTCAGTCCATCCGGGAGATGTGCATATCCCGGAGACAACGCAAATACTACTCTCAACGTCACTTTATTGAATGATCCCTCCTTCGTCTCATCCACCACTTCACCCATCGACTCCAGGATGTCTTTTATCCCTGGCCATACTGCGTTTTCTGCTGTTGCAGGATCTCTGAGCCTGCTCAGAAAACCTCTACTGTGTAGATGGTCATTGATGCCAGCAAACACAATCGTTATCGGGTTCATTTCTGTCTGCCTTTGTACCCCTATAGCCAATGACACTGATTGCAATAGGTCTAGGTCAACTGCGGCCAGCATTATGACGTCCGGCCAAAACAAAGAGTTAGAGGTGTACACGAACTCTGAATTCGCTACTACCATGATCTTGGCCTTTCTCATCTCTGCTTTGTCGTAGGCGGCGAAGATGCTCTCATCTTTCTTTATTGCTGTCAATCCGCCATATCTCTGGGCATCACCATCTTGATTCACTAGTTTTGGGTACACTCTCTCCTTCACATGACCAGGTGGTGTCGTCAGTTGCCTGAATATCTTCACGTGTTGTCCAATCGGCGCTCTCGCCGTCAGGAATCTTCCTGGTCTTTCTTCACAATTCCTCTCCTCATGGTTCAATCTCACATCTTGCAACGGTCTTGCATTCACAGGTCCCATTGTGTTGTTGGAGGGCAGTCCCTCCAAGTCAGCAAATCTTAAGGCTGTCGTGGAGCTGAAATTTATGCTAGCGGCTATCAACCAGTCTACGCCGGTTATTGAGTATAATCTGCTGACGGATAGCGTCGCTCCATTCAGCATCCTCCTTGCATCTTCGATGAAGCTTACTCTCTGCAGGTCCAGCTTCACCAGTTCGTCCTTGTATATATGCCAGGGAGACGGTATGGGTCTCGACCACAACAATGAGCCTCTATTCGGTCTCTCCTCTCGACTGGTACTCGTCGTCTCCGACCTGGTGTCCGATCTAGACGTGCCTGCTACTTCTTCGATTGGTTGGTTGACGTTGACAGGTCCTATCCTTCTCCTAGGATGAATTGTCCTCCTCATCGGTGCTTCCCCCAACCGATCTTGTACGTCTGTTCTTCGACCTGGTTCGCTGGAGCTTTGTTGCCGGTAATTTATGACGGCTGGGACTGTACCCAAACGTGTTTCCAGGTTAGGAGGCACAAAGGTAGTGATCACCGTATCATTCACCGTTCCCTCTTCCTTCAGTACTCCTGTGTCAGAGAGTTCTGCTTCCAGCTCATCCAACCGTTCTTGGAAGACTCGATTCAACCAAGCTTGTCCTTCGATACTGTCAAAGTGGATGCCATCCGAAGTCAGTCTGGCTTGATCCATGGCTCTCAATTCGTGTTCAATGTCCATAGGGATCATTCTTCCGGCATTTCGATTTGCTAGGGTTCTTAAGATGTTGTTCCATCTCATGACTCCCTCGTTGTGCCTTCTTCCCGATGCTGTCAGGCTTCTTGCGTTCATTGGCACCGTGCAAACGGTCAGTACCGCGCAACTGAACTTCTGCCAGAGAGTAGTGAACAAACACACCATCATTGATCCCACAGTGCTTCCTGCTCGTCTGATCCTCTGGAGATATCATTCGTCCCAACTAATATCATCACACTGGGTATCTTCCCTGGATTCATCAGCTCCACCATCCGATATAATTGGGCAATCGTCGCGCCTCCAAAGGCCATCACCGTGGTGACCCACGAGGTCCTCAAATTCGTCCAGGTTGAAATTGTCCATACTGTTCTTTCCAAGTTTGATTTGATTCGATTTCGGTTTGATAATTTGACTCAAGTGAGTAATTTAAATGATCAATCAGGATCTAGAAAAGAAATCACGAATGTCACACTTGTCAATTTCACCTTAACATACATCGTTAAAATTTGCTTAAAGACAGTTCAGATAAAAAGGTATTTATCCTAAAATTTATTAAAATCAATTGGTTTCTAAAATTTTGGAATTCGACCTAAGATTGGACAGACCAAACTTTGGATGTATTCCCAAACTCGTCATTTAGTTATTCATGGTCACTAACCCCTACTTACCCATGATCTTAATAACCTAACACATAACATAACATAACATAACACACATATCACATATTACATGCAACTTGGTCTTTGGCCTAACACCCTCTCGCACATCACTCAGCCTATACTTAAGTAATATTTCTTATGTAGATACACTTGTATGTTTGTATCAGAGAATATCACGTGTACAAGCGCGTACAATTCCCGAGGATGCAGTCTTCCTCTATTTGGATCGTACACTGGAAGCGAAAGCTCCTTCACGTCCATTTCCACAAGGAAGTCCCTCAGCCTCGTCAAAGACAAGACTAGATTTTCTGGGTCCACGTGCTGCTTCTCCGTCGCCCTCGTTACCAAAAAGCATAAGTACTTTCCCGGTATCTGCGACACCGCTGGGGGTAAGGCTGCTACGCCCCCTATCCCTGGTCTTTGCTTCCAAAGGAATTCCAAGTTTTTGTATTCCCTCTTAAAATCTGCCGCTAGCGCCGTCCTAAAACTCATGTCTGCGGTGATTGCTATTGCACATGTTCTGTTTGTGAGTATGAAATCACTATCTGTTAGTATTTTGTTGCTTGAATTTTCATTTGGTAAGTTAAAAAATGACTCAACTACCCTGCCTATGTCAGGTTTCTTAGGTTCTTCGCATGTTTCTGCTTCTAAGTCTCCTGTTTCTCTTGCTATTCTCAATTTTTTTATTATCAAGTTTTCAGTGTGGGTAAGTCCTACCCCCACTCCCCGGACAAAAATATCCATCGGCGTCCCCGTCGATCGCATACCGGGTATTACGTCAAGATTAGAAGCTGGAATGAGCAATCGTCCTTCCTGGGCAGCCCAGGAAGGATCGTCTCGTTCAGTCTTGATGTATTTCATGCTTTCACGATCTACGTCTTGAATCGTGACGCTGGTCTTCTCTGGATCCGAGGTCGTTTCATTCAGCCACTCTAAGACACGCAGGTTCGTCTGGTCTTGTTCATATGACTGCTGTTGCTCATCGTCAAATTCTACCTCGGGTTTCGACCAGTCGTCAACCCACTCATCGTTGTGATCATTGACTATGTCAATGTCTTGTGACACAGTTATTTCCTCTAAACCCACTACTTCCTCCACTATTTTCTTTAGATCTATCCTATACACTACAAAGTCGTCACCGTAAGGATTGTACTTCTTTCTTGGTCTCGTCCCGTCCTTCTGGCGAGTCTGCATCGTGAATGGAAGATCTGGTTCCAAGTTCTTGGGAACCTCTGTCTGTTCGGGATCCTGCCAATCTTCTTCTGCGTAGGGTAAGGTTTCATCGTCCGCTTCAATCTGTTCGTTTGGATCCAGGTCCAGCGGTGTTTCTGTACCATCCTCTACGATTTCGTTTCCATCTTTCTTCCCCCTGGTGCCTTTTTCATTGACCTCACAAGCAGGATCCATCATTAGATAATCCCCTTCTTCCATGTCTGCAGGTATACACCAGTCTTCTGTCGATGGATTGTGTGGCTTGATGTTCTCGTAGTGGGCGGCTCGGCCAGTACTCAGTCTATAAAAGCGTCCCTCTTGGTGCACCTCTGTAATCATGAAGGGTCCCCTCCACTTCTTCAGAAGCTTCTTTGTCCCTTTCGGTGGTATAACGTTCTGAAATACCCATACGTAGTCTCCCACCGAGTAAGCCTTTGCACCAGCTGCTTTCTTGTCGAATCTTTTCCTCTGCCTTGCCTGTGCCTGCTGAGTGTTTCGTCTACACAAGTCGTTCAACTCCTGTTGGCGTCTGATCACATCCCTCACGTAGACCTGGGGGGACGTTTTCTTTCCCTCATATTCTGGGTAGAAGAAGGTTAAGGGTAAAGACTTTTCGTGTCCAGTTAGCATCATGTG